ATATTTTTGAAGGATTATATTTTTCTAAGTTAAGGAAAGTATTGTTTATTGAACAAAGTTAATTTTACTATATTTTACTTTCACTTAGAAAACTACACTGGCTGATTTTGGACAAAATAATACTAGTAAAATATTAGCATCTAGTGTGTGGCAGACACTGTCTTTAGTGGTCTACATATGTCAGCTTATTTAATCCTAACAGTAAACTTTTGAGGTAGGTAGTATCCTCATTTTGTAGATGAAGAAAGTGAGACACAGAGTGGCTAAGTAACTTGGATAAAAACTACACAGAAAGTAGGGACCAGAGGGGTAGGGGCTAGATTTCAAACCCAGGCAGTCTTAACTGTTAATGTCTGTATTTTACACATACTCGAAATAGGCTCTGAAATGAAGGCTCAAGCTGGGTGGTCATGCTTCAGAGGTTGCAAGGAGTTTAAAGTCAGATGATATCCAGATGCATAATTATTGGTGTAAGTGCTGTACAGAGAGACCTTTAAATCAATAACTGGAAGGAATATTGTGGGTGAGAAATGTTTTAATAAAAACATGTCACTTGCAGTGCTTGATATATATGGAGCATTGATGTTAACTTCCAGTTGCACATTAAAGAAAAGAACAAGTTGGCGTTTAATGTGAAATTATATAAAAATAAAACCAGATAGCTTTCCTCACCATCTATTCCATGAAAGAAATCAGTGTGAAGCATTCATCCATGTAAGTGTTTTTAGGCATGCTAAAAGATTTGGTTTCAAATCACCATTTAGGACAGTTTTGTGATTGTGAGCAGGTTAGTCCTCTTTTCTGAGCTCAACTTCATCTGTAAAGCAGGAATAGTATTGCATAGTGTGTATATCACACACACCAAATATAGACATGAAACATGAACTTCATAAATGGTGGCAGTGGTAGAAATGCAGTAATGGTGAGCCTTTTGAACCTTTTAGAGCTTTCAGTGATAACAAGCAGCCCAGTATAACATATGTGCCATAGTTTTGCCACCACTGGAGGAGTTACTGAGCCTGTTGAATGGAGAACATAAGAAAGCTATGGGCCCTACTCAAATATACTTCTGATACTCCATGAAGAAAAAAATACAGGAGGTATGTGTGTGCAGGGGCTGAGTAAGAGTCTGAAGCTTGTAAATGATATTGGGGCTTTGAGGAGACTTTTGTGCAGATTGAACTCATAACCAAGGAAACAGAATTAGGAGTAATTTGTGTTGGGTTTAGACATATATTTTCATATAGCATTAGATCTACTGCTCCAATGACCATTTAATTTTTAATTTTCTTTTGTGATAGAAACACTAGCTAATGGAAGCTATAGGTTAAACTCTCTGAAGTTGCTAATATATAACCATTTTTAAATGAATAAAAATGGCAGTTTCATATAGTTCAACCTGATTTATCTGTTAGCGACTCAAAATCTAGAAAAGGAATTTTTAAAAATTTCACAAAAATGAATGCTGTAGTTTTATTTTCATTTTCTACTCATGCTGTAGATAGGCTGTACTTTGTTTTAAAAGTCTGATTTTAAAATAATTTATTAGTTTCCCAGTACTGCTATAAATAAATTCCTACAAATTTAGTGGCCTAAGACACCACAAATTTCTTATCTTTTAGTCCTGGAGACGAGAAGCCTAAAAATCAGTCTTACTGGGCTAAATTAAGGTGGTGGAGGGGCTGGTTCCTTCTGGGGCTTCCAGAGAGGGTCTAGTTCCTTACCTTTTGCAGTTTCTGGAACTTGCTGCATTCCTTAACTTGTGGCCCCACCAGTCCAACCTCTTGCTTTTGTTGTTATATCTCCTCCTGCTGACTCTGACCTTCCTGCCTCCTTCTCACAGGGACTTTTGTGATGATGTTGAGCTCATGCAGATTATCTAGCCTGATTCATCATCTCAGAACCCTTGACTTGATGAGTACCATGGTTTCTCACCATTCTGCACTTGGACATTTGCAAACACTGGTTAGATGATAAATAAGTGGAATTAAAAGAGATAAAATAAAAATGGGAAATGCTGCATAAGATTACAGTGGAATACTAAATTAAAAATTAAAGTGATACTTCATAGTATTGCAAGTCCTTTTTATAACACCAAAAAGTAATCATACTTAATCCTCATCCATTTAAATTTAAATTCCTACCAGGTGTTTACATTTGTATTTACTTTGCTATGAAGGTTAATTTCTATAGTCTTGATATTGCAAATTTTAAAATATCACCTCAAGATACTCCCCACACCTATCAGGTCATAAAATAGATACAGTTATAGTATATATGGCTTTAAATTAAATTTTATTCTGTAGCAGGGATCTGGATTTTATTTTAGGAAATGTGATGATGTTTTCATCATTCATCTCTTATGGCAAAACACTGGAATAGCTGGTAAAGGCAGTAAGCAGAAGCTAGGGGGCCATCCCTGAGGTATTAGAAGAGTTTGAGGCAAATATCCCTTGACTGCACTGTGGCCATTGAGTTATCTCTGTGCTAGATTCTGAGCTAGGGGAGTAAAGATATATATGGCATGTTCCTAGCATGAAGAACACATGGTCTTACAACATAGGAAGAAGTTTACACTTCCCTCAGGTCATTTATACCATTTTAAAATATCAACAATATCTCTGTGATGTCAAGTGTCATGTGAAATGTTTGAAAAAAACCCTGAGCTGTGGGTTGCAATGTGTTCCCTCCAGATTCCTGTGTTGAAGCCCTAACCCCAAGTACCTCAGAATGTGACTGTGTTTGGAGACACGGCCTGTAAGGAGGTAATTAAGATTAAATGAAATCATAAAAGTGGGGCTCTAATTCAATAAGACTGGTGTTCTGATAAGAGAAAGGCCATGAGAGGACATGGCGAGAAGGTGACCATCTCCAAGCCAGGGAGCGAGAGCTCAGGAGAAACTACCCTGCTGACACCTTGACTACCAGCCTTCAGAACTGTGACAAATACATTTCTGTTGTTTAAGCCACTAGTATGTTGTGCTTTATCATGGCAGCCTTGGCAAAGTTAAGCATTCTACCTTTCTTATTTATATTTTGTATTTTGCTTTCTTATCTTTTGTCTGTGTACATTCGTTCACATATTTAGAGTTGCAAACATAATGTTCATGACATTTTAATCTCTGACTCATACTGAGCTCTGTTATAGGATGGGAGGAGATGGGGTGGTGGCTATGGTGTAGTCAGGTCTCCACAGTACGTTGTGTCTGCCAGGTGCAGCCTCATGGTACCTACCCCAGTAGAGGAAAGCCAGAATGGATGTAAAGTGAGGCATTGTTGTATTCATTTAAGAAGAGCCAGGGAAATACCACTGATATTTGCTCCTCTATTTTCTGATCATGTTGTTCAACCAAGTACCTACCACTGTGCCTGGCAGTCACAATTACTGAGGGACCCAGCAGTCCACTGTCTTCCTGAATACAAATTTTCTCAGAAACCAAATTGTAGTCAAAAGCTAGTCAGGTGAGCCTGAAATTGGCAGGGTTGGCATCAAATGATTGTTAGAGGATGATAAGAGCTCTATTCTATTTTCTAACATTTTGCACATTTTTGAGTAATGAACACATTAATACATCTAGAGATAATTTTGGTGTATCTTGCATTGTTTGGTTTCATTTCATCTTTTTCACAGTTTTAATCGTTATTGTAATACTGTTCATTTCATATTGTCTTGTTCTATGATTTTGAAAAATTACTTATTTTATATAAAGACTTGGGCCTATTTCTGGGCTCCCGTGAATGTTCCATTTTTCCAAACTCCTTGTCATACATTTTGTCATTCTGTTTTGATTAATATTGCTATGTAGTACATGCTAATATCCGACAAGGATATATTGATTTTCTTCATTAAGTTTTTGATTCATAAGGTATTTAGTCATTGCCTTATTTGTTTTACAAACTAATTACGTTTTTAATGCTATTTTAAAAAATCTCATTGGATATTTGTGTTAAATCTGTAAACAAAATATTGAAATTAAGTTATTTTTCAGCTGGGTTAAAATAAAAGGAATTATCTAGCCTTGACCCTTTGCATGAAAAAGAGTGATGATGGTACTTGGAAAAATAGCAGAATGTGAGGAGCAAGAGATATAAGAAACTTGTAAGATGTTGAGCAAATAGCACACATATGAAGACATCTGTGCATTCCAAGTAAGCTAGACAATTTAACTTATTTACACTTTTATACTGTCCTCAATTTTGAGTGGAAACACAATCAGAATAAAGGACAGAGTAGACGACTGCTTAGTGCTAAGGAATAACTTAATCTTATCAGTTTTGCTTACAAACTCTGATCAGCCATAGGAAGAATACAACATTACCTAGTATTTAAAAATATGGACATAAAATCCACATTGCCTGGTTTTGAGTTGGCTCTTCTACTTATTTGTTGGACCTCAGTTTATTCAAAGTAGGACAATTATGATGTCTGTCTCATGGTGCTCTTGGGAGAATAAATTAATATTTATAGAGGATTTAAATAGTGCCTGACCAATAAACATCAGTTATATTAAGGAGATTTGTGCTATTGAGATACTTTTTTGGTTTGGAAGAGGTCACTTGCCTGTATTTCTCTTCTTTTCCAAATCTGAATGTCTACCCTGTGCAGTTCTGCATTGATGATAGGACTCTGTAAGGCTGAACTCTTGTGCCTGGCCTACACTGTTATCATGGAAATATTTCTGAGCCTTTGTACTTGACTTATTTATTGTTGCTCTCTGGCAGCCTTCTCCTGATCTCTTGGCAGAAGTAGCTAGATTTCATTAAAAGTCACCCTCTCTCGATACCATCTCTGGTGGATATTAGAAGGGTTTGGTATTAGAAGAGTATATTTGGGCTGGGATATTCTAAGTGCTCTAAAATTAAGTTTCCCCCGGGGCTCCCCACTTCCTTCACCCTGGCTCCCTGTTGCTCCCCTGCCCATGTCACCCACAGGAGCTCAGCCAAGCCTCCTGTGGCTTTCTCCAGCTGTACACTGAGATGAGTCTGTCTTCGTATTTCAGGTGCAAGTTCTCTCCCATCGGCTCCGGCTCGAGTTCCCACTCTGGGGCCCTGTGTATGAGTGACACGTCAGTCTGCCATGGAACCTGGCCCTGCCCTGGCCTGGCTTCTGCTCCTGAGCCTGCTGGCTGATTGTCTGAAAGCTGCTCAGTCCCGAGACTTCACAGTGAAAGACATTATATATCTCCACCCTTCAAGTAAGACTCTGTTCTCTTTGCTGAAGAAATGTCACTTTATTTCAAGTAAGAAGTGGGTTGAAAAGTAGCTGTGAGAAAGCAGACTTTCACGCAGAGGAAATATCTGGTAGTGTATTTAGGAGATGCCATATTTGAGCAAAAAAATGTTTTATGTTTTACTCTTGCTTTTTCACAAAGTGTTTGCTTTTCAAGGCCCGTACACAATCACTGTGACCCTAAATATCTCCCTTTTACTATCCCTCAGTAAGTTAGCAAAGTATACTGCTGTGTCCCAGGAGGAGGATTGTCTGTAAAAGATCGATCCTTTGTAGGTAAGACATAGCTGGTCTTCCTCTCTGTGCATCTAGCTCTCAATGTGGGCATCGCTGCCCTCCACGACTCCCTATTCCCAGTGCTTTTTGGTTTCCTATGTTTAATAACTCTCTAGGGAGGTCATGATGGTGTATCTATGGTGTATCAGAAACCCTTCAGTTTCTGATTTGCATATATCTGGGGTTGTACTTGGGGATTGATGCTTTGAGCAAGACTTTCAGGTCTTTTGGCTGAGGCTCATACTTGGGGAAACCCCACGTTTTGACTTCTCCTTTGGTCTGCATCTCTGTTTATCTCCTCTCTTTTTGACTCCTCTTTTGTAACACCCCATATGGTGATGAGTTCGGTATATTGTGTATATTCTGGCCTTTAGCATTTGTCTCTAAATAAATTATTTTTTAAGTATTCTGCTCAATAAATATTGTTCACATATCCACCATTTGTCAAGCATTTTGTTAGGCGTGAAAGGTATACAGGCAAATAAGACACAGTCTTACTTTTCAGGACTGTACAGTCTACAAAGTAGAGGCATCCACTCAGACTCCTTCAATCCTATGGGGCTAGAATAGTTAATGTCTGTATGTTCTGATTTCACTGAGAAGTAGTATGTGAAATTCACAGGGGCTTGGAGGCTACCTAACCCTGAGCTGCTTCCTAGCCTCTTAATTTGAAATATATTCTCTAACTTTATGAAGACTAAATAACATGATGTTACAAAGCACTTAGCATTGAATATGAACTATAGTAAATATTCAATCAATGTTAGGAAATTTTTTAAAGTGCTTATTTCATTTCTAAAATAGTAAAACAGTGCACATCTTCTCGCATTATTTTATGGACTAGAAATAACATCATAAGGGCATCAGATTTAGCTCAGTGGTTCCGCCGCCTGCCTTGAAAGCACAAGGACCCAAGTTCGATCTCTGGTATCAAAAAAAAAAAAAAGAAGAAGGTATAACAGCATGAAGCATCAGGCCCATATCTGTGACCTCTTTTAAGGCTGTGATTGTACACAGGAGGGAGGAAAATTGAGGTGAACAGGTTTAAGTGAACAAGAACAAAACAAACACACTACTTCTACCTCAGTGGGTGGCAGGTCAGTGTCTGGGTTGAGTGGGCCCCTATTTGGGAAGTTGATTTTAGCATGGAGCCTTTGAAGGATGAGCTCTGCCAGGCTACAGGGAGAATCAACTTCTCTCTAAAAGGTGTTAGAAAAGTTCTGCTTATATGACTCGTACTTATTAAATAGAGCTATGGACTAATTAGAAGGAATTCAATATTTGTAAAGAATTGATGGAGCTTTCTGATATGATCTAGAAATATGGAGATGGATAGAAGTTATTCCTAAACTAGATTATAAATAGATAATTCTCCAGCAAGGTTGGGCCCAAGTTCTCTTTAAGAGAGTCTCCGTAGTGAATCAGGGGTGATACAAACTCTCGTTGGAGTGAAGTTACACTGAATGGCTCCCTCTTGCCAGAACTTTGTTTTTCTACCTACTTCCAATCAGATAACTTCACATTTTTCCAAACTATCTCAGAAGTTTGTAGTGTGTTTTTGTTTCCACTTTTGAGTTTTTAAAAGGCCCTGGTCCTCTGCCCTTTACCACCATACCTTGTTTAGGTGGAGAGATCTTTCTACCAATAAGCAGGCTCCTGTTGAACATAAGCCATAAAAAATATATAAGGGAAGCATAGGATTAGTTTGATTTTGAATTATTTATATAATCACCTCACTTTGTAGATGGAGGCAAAACAGCCATCTTTGGATCAGTGAGTGGGCCAGATTCCATTAATACTACATGGAAAAGCTTAGCACCTGCCCAAGGAGAAATGTGATGTTGCAGGACGAGATTTCTATGCCAGACATAAACTCATTTCTCAAAGGCTCAGAACAGCCTTTATCAATAATAGTGTGTGAGATTGGAACTCAGGCTGAGAAAATTTGGTCTCCATGACAATTCTCCTTTGATTCTGCTACTGTAATCTTTGAAGTTCTTCAGCCTTAAAAAAAAAAAAAAAAGTTTTATAGCTTTCAAACTTGGGGCACTTTTCTGAAAAAAAAAAAAAAAGAAATCTGTTCTATACTTTGTATGTGCTGTTCTCCTTTAATTTTCATGTGAAAAATGGTGATTTTCCCCTAGCTTATGGTTAAAACACCGAAATCTAATAAAAACCTTCAAACTAAGAGCAATATTAAAGAGAACTGGATTTACTTATTTCTTTGTCAGACATCATTCAAGATAACAAAATATGAAGTACTGTGTGGCTGCAATCTAGCCTAGGTCTCCATTTCTTTCCATAGAATGAAAACCTTTTCTAAAAATATTTTCCTCTGGATACATATTTTGAGCCTTTACTGAATCATGTGCACCAGAGATCTGTGTTCTTGCAGGAGGTCTTATTAATGCCCAGGTAGGAGCAACATGTTTACTCACAACCCTGTAGTACTGTATTACCCAACTCTTAGAGAGTCAGGAGACTTTCTAAAGAGTACCAGGGAATGCATTTCTATCAGAAATGTGTTCATACTAAAATTACACTGACGATATTTTGTTGCCAAGTGGACTGAAAAGAAAGATAAATTTTTTAGATTTCTAGAATTTTTATATTTGAGTGTTGTTTCCCAAAACATGGAAATTAATTTGGCAAGAAGAGAAAAAGGTTGGATGCATTACACATCAGCATGCGTTTCAAAATGTCTGTTCTCATCACCTTTTCCGTAACTGAAGGCCTTTGTACAGGCAAAAGTTCCAAGAGATGGAAACGAAGATTAAATCTTTTCCAGTATCTTATGAGTGAATTATGCTAGGTTGAACTATGGCTGACCATGCGGGTTAATGCACATATTATTTTACAGGAAGTAACTGGGCACTTTGGCGTTTCTATTCTCCTTACAATCACTTTCTCTTGAGGGATCACGAACTTATGCCCTGAAATACACGGTACTAAGCTTATTAACTCTGTGATCAAGAGCCAAATTAGATTCATTCACAGCTGGGGCCACAACCATCTGAAACTCTGCTTGCTCTATAATGCTTTGAAGTAACAAAGAAGAAAACAGCACATCTCTTAGGACTCTCTTTCCATCCTTAAAAGAAAGAAAGAAAGAAAAACCTCTTTATCAGATGCAGTATCACTTAGCAAGTTACTGGAGATAGTTGTTCATCTGTTGACCTTTTTTTTGCCTAAATATTTCCAGAGGGAAAAATTTAACTATTTACTTGATTTGTACTATAACTAGCCACTGAAAGATGAGTATTTGCACAGATTTGTCACTAATCAGTGATTATTCACTGATCAGTACTACCTGCCAAGATGTCAATGAAAGTTCCTATAAGAAAATATTAAGCTGCAGTATGGAGAATGTATACAGATAGGAAGTTGTAGATTTTAACCAAAAATGAGATCCTTTGGTTTATTGCCAATGATGTATGCTGATAAGCTCATTCAGAGATAAATGATTTGAAACAAAGCTTCATTTTGCTGCCATAGTATTTTAGCTCATATTCCTGTTTAGATTTCAACATCCTTTGGGTTAATTTCAGAGTCCAAGTCTACTTACATAAGAAATGACAGTATTTAATTTAATATGTCACTATTTTGTAAAGGGTCATCTTTAAAAGTCTAATAAATAATCCAAATTTGGGAACAATACAACTTATTCATATTTGGTCCTCAATAACTTTGTTCTTAGAACAGTTGGATCATCAATCTTCATTCAGAATTCTTAATTTATCTCTTGGATGGGAAAGTTTCCAGGAATAACTAATCCAACATCCTAGCCAAAAAATTTTTTTGGCGGCAATGACAGACAGATAAAATTGGATGCTCTAGTGAATTAATCATGCAAACTGAAGTAGTAAGACTAGCTTGCAGTCCTAAACCTTGGTGGATATGATGATCATTTTTTTTGAGAAATGCCGTTCATTGTCACATCCTTTATGTCTAAAACTGTGTTCTTTCATTTCAGATTTTAGAAGCTGAAATTTTGTCTTTTAAAGTTATTTATTAACACTTTAAAAA